AGAGTTTACCGAAAGAGTCATCCACCGAATTATTTTCTAATTTATGCGACGGGAAGATGGTTTTTTTCTCCCCCAAACCTTGATAGACAAATTTATTTATCATTACAGAGTTCAGGAAGAGGGAACATCGAGGAAAAAGAATCAAATTGGTTTCTTTCAGACTGGATAAAAGTTTAGTGGCATTTTTTAATTTAATACGAGACGAGAAAACTCATTATTTGGTCCCCCAAGCTATTACAGTTCCTGCGCCACAATTTGCTGTGATCTCTGTTGCTTTTGTTATTGATAACATCTTTTGGAAATTTGAATTTTGAAAGAAGTGTGGCATATATTCAGTCTTTTTAGCGCAGAATCGCCGTTAATTTTAGCAATTATAACAAAAGCAAAGCTAAAAAATTTTCAATCGAAACTGTGAGAGTTCAATTTTTAATTATTTATACAGAATTGTTGCCTTTGGTCTATCACTGTTTCCTTAATAACATATTGTTGTGATGACTGCGAAGAAAAGAAATTTTTCGCATACGTAAATTTTTCAGCATCGGAAATTAAGTTTCAGTTACTCGTCGTAAGAATCTTTCTTTCTTGCAAAATTCAATCGGTTGGAATTCTCCTCTCTTGCAAAATTTTTATGCTTTTTCTATCCAAGGATGGCAAAAACGCAATGGGACTTTGCATAGGTGAAAGGCGAACGTTCATTCAAAAATTACCGATTTTTCGTCGCTGTCTCGAGCTGTTTACCTTTAAGTAATACTTTAAATCACATACTTACCTGATAGAACGACTGAAAGCTGGTACCAAAGATACATTGTCTTCATATCTCTTCCTAAGATTCGAAGTAAATCCCGGATTGCCGTTCCTCGCGCAAAGAACAACTGATAATGGCTTTTGGCGCCTGAAAAATGCTCCCAGCCACGATAAGTTTGATAATGAGGCATTCTGTGCAGAGAGGCCAAATGGTATTATTAATTATTGATCAGTGGGTATGTTTTTGTTCATTGATCGCTTTGTACCGCGTGTTGATGAAATGACTGACCAGCAACTCGGAAATAAAGCCGAACAAGTTTTACATCAAGAATAAGTATAAATTTCCGTATCTTGCTCGACCACCTGTGTACATTTGTGAATCAATTCAGCTCTCCTTGCCTCCCTCTCCTCTTCATATATACGCTTCAGTTTTTCCTCGGCCATAATGAGGCATTACAAAAGTAATAAATTATAAATATATTCTCAGCGTGCTTTTGTCGACTCGTGTACGTAAGAGAAAATAGACAAATAGATACATGATTTAAGACAGGACTAAAAACAAAGAAAAGGAAAATAACAAAAAAACAGGAGGAACGAAAAAAAAGTTCGTGAGTCTATCAGCTCTCTAATAGTCTCACATGTTTCTGTCAATATACTAAAAGAAATTAGTCGGAAATTAAATTGTTAACGCACAATTTAATTTGTCTCATCGGCTGTTCGGAGGTGAATAGTACATGCCAATCACTCCCAAACCAGCGGATCAGCACGCACTATTCACCCATGAGGTATATGGTAAAATGAAATATCTTAAAAGTACGAATATTACCCTTTACATGAGGGTCTTAATGGGGTGATGGCTTTTACCGCTTTCGGTTCAAATTTGTGCCATTTTAGGGCCAACGGTTAATATCATTTCATTAATGTCACCACAAATATTGTTTACCTTTTTTACGACTATCGGTTAAAATTTGCCAATGATTACGCTTAACAGCTCACTTTTTTAACCGTTTTACAGCTATCTGTTAACCCCATTAAGACTCTCTTGTAAATGAAAGGGGATAAGTAAACAGGAAAAAAATTTATTCGGTGTGTAGCCAGACATATTAATAATTTTTGGTAAAAAGAATAAAAAAAAGTTGACACTGGCTAAAAAGATATTGTTCTGGACGTTTGGGCAAATACTCTTGCCTTCTTCAGCAAAGATAAAAATGCAAATGTCTAACGGCGTCCTGCCGTATTCAAGAAGCTTTGGGGAAATGACACGAAATTGAGGGAGATTAGATAGTCTTTTGTTTTAGATCAATACTAGAATAGAGACTTGTTGAAACAATTCTTTTCCACACAAATTTTGACCTTCCCCAAGTTTAAACATCAGACGCAAAAGAAATATATTTTTTAAATTACCCCTTTATTGATTCTATTAAAAATGAGGAACCGCACTATACACTACTGATAAACTATTTACAGCACAATGCCTACGATCACCTGATTACGGGACGTTACTTACAATAAACGGCATCAAGAAAAAATATAATAATGGCCTTCACTTTCTTTACAATACAGAAATTACCAAATGATGCTAATGATAATAATTTTACAGTACGTGATTTGGAATAGTCCTATAGTATATAAGTTACGTGGGAGGAGCAGCAGACTAACGGTCAATTCAGTAAACTTCAAGTCGAGAGATCTGGGTACGAGACTTGGCCAGGTCAATGTGTTGTGTTCTTGAGCAAGACAACACTCTCACCATGCCTCTCTCCACCCAGGAATAAAAATGGGTACCGGCGAATTTTCAGGGAAGCCTGATGAAATACTGGGGGGGGGGGACCTTGCGATGGACTGGCGACCCATCCAGGGGGGAGTAATACTCATGGTTGCCTCATGCTAAATGGAGACCAGGATAAGCTTCGAACGGGTGGGTCAAGAGTGCAAACCTCACCTTTTTACTCCATAATTTGACGTATACAAAAGGAATTCTGCTTGCTATTCTCTCTCTGCTTTAGCTGTAACGCTACTTATTAAAAATCTTTTATTAGCAATCGCCAATTCACTCACTAATAATGGCACATACACTTATAAATTACCGTAATAACATTGCTAACCTGACTTAAAATGTAAACATGATCTAGATCTGAGGATAACATAACATAAATAGTCCTTTTAATGAAGGACTAAATCTTTATTGCTTCTGGGGCATACTTTTTCTTTAACTCTTTGGCCGTTAAGAGTGACTAGCATCTAATTTCTCCTTACAATATTACGCCTGAATCACACATTAAGGTCATGAGAATGAAGGGAATAATCTCCCATTTAAGAAGCTCTTGATTTTTTACCCAATTTGTCACACATCTTTCCTGAGTTGATGGAGTATTTATGTTATGTTAATACTTTCTAGCTCTATGTAGTATTTCTTTGGTATGATATGGTTCTAAATGTTGTCGTGATTTATTCAAGAAGCGACTCATTGATGTCGTTAGAGAAAGTAGATTCTACAATGGAATCTGTTGGATTCAGCTCAGTTTGTGACGTTGTTTGCTCTAACCCAGCAAAGCGGCGATTGCTTGCTATCTTGAGGAAGCACGCTACTAATATCACAAAGAGGAAGAAACTCGTACAGGCGATTCCAACTGCCATACTTCTCCAGTGATCTGCAAAAGCCACAAGTGAGGGAATGATGAAAACTGAAAGATTAATTATTTGATTTTGCCTCGCCATGTTTCTACTGCGATGGACTAGCGTCCCTCCCAGATAGACACCAGAAACTGCGGTTCACTCGACCTATACGATTTAACTATGCTCATCATCCACTCAATACTCATGACATCCACTGGATAAATCTCTATCCAGTGAACAGCGCATTACGTTTTGTTAACTCTTCTCCGCTGGATAGCGGATAAGAGTTAACAAAAGGAGAAGGAGCAGGCGCAGGAGGTTCAAAACGAGATGGTAACTGTGAACAGTAAAGCCTCAAGATCTTCATTTAAGAATGTCAAACACATTCTAGAATCGAAGAATCAGGTCCATATCTACAAGCACTACAAATTTAAGAGGGGTTACGGGTCATATGTATATGTGAGATGAAAATGACTCAAAATTGTTACAGGCATGTGTACGATTGCGTTTTGTTTTGTTATCTCTAATTACGTCATATTCTAAAATTAGCTTTTCGAATAAATCTTTTCGCATTCAATAACAAATGCTGCAATCTGATTGGCTACGCTACTCGCTGGCGATCTATTTCGTAATATATAGCTTGTCACCGCGTGATTATACAAAAAATGAAACAAATTACATTGCTCTCCTTTTTTAAAAGACCAGTAGATTTACACTTAAAGGAAAAAAATGTTTATTCGCTCTCGAATTTAATGCTTTCATCAATTATCACGCAATAGAAATTCAGAGCTTAAAATCTAATTTTCAATCATTCCTTGTTTCATCACGAAACAAATACAGTATATGTTTGTGACTTACCAGAGTTGATGGCCTGTTCGTCGTAAAACTTTCTTTGTGGCGTAATGTTAGCCCGTGTTGCTCTGTACATCAGCTCAAATCGATTCATTTCCAAATCTCTGGTAGAATTGTACTTAAATGATATCCACAAACTATTTCCCAAAGAGCAGATCTCAAGTGGAGGCTTCTCATTTCCACAGAATTTTCCAATCATTGGACTTGAACAAGTGGGACCGTCTTTGATCTCAATAAAAGATCCAAGACAAGAGAGGAAGACAAATGATTCCGTTGTGAGCTGCACTTGAAAACCTTCAGGAGCGGTAATTACCCATGTACATTGTCTATCGGAACCACACACTGTTGGATTCTTTGAACTAGTGATGAATTGAGAAGTTCTATTTGCTTTCAGAATAACTGGTTTCTCTAAATGCACGGGAAGACAAACAAGAAAAAACTGATACTTAGAGACTCGACAAAAAGGAAACATTGGGGACCCTATATTATTTATTTCCGGGGGGGAGAGGGTCGGAGGATGTTGATTACCAACAGGTATCGCGAAAAATTTAACTTGACTCACCCATAAGGCTCTTTAATATTCTTCTGATTCTCCACGCATGAGCAGTTCATCGGCAGTCAATTTTCTGTAGTCTTCCCATTATATTCTGTTTGCACCGATTCATCCCCTTCCCGTTTACCCTGAAAATCATGTGTGCCCCCCAAAAAATTATCCGCCCCCCCCTCCCTTTCCAGGACATAAATATTGATTGGACCACAAGGAACCAATTTCAGAAAAAAAAACTCCTCTCTCCACAACACGTATGTTAAATTACATCTCCAAAGACAGAGCTACCATAATATTTCAACAGACTTGAATTCCATCGAATTTATAAATACTCGTTACTCAACTTACTCTTTCTTAATTTAATGAAAGTGTAATTCGCGAGGAATCCTCGTCCCTCATTCTCTCTGTCTGATTCGAATTTGACCCACATGTGCCGTCCTTCGGAATAAACAGTGCTCGCCTTAGCTTCACAATATCTGCTAATAAGAGGGCCACTGGCTTTTGCTCCATCTCTGAGTTCAACATAGTCACAACTGCACATAGCGCAGTACTCGAGGTCAACGGAATTGATCATGAGCTTCACTTTCCAGTGTTGTGGGGCAGTTATCACCCAGATGCAAACGGTGCTGTTGGGATAGTGTGTTTCACTGTAGCCTGGACTCATTAAAATCCCCTCAGAAGCTGTTAAGTTTCGTCCACCGGGACAGGTAACTGATGGATATAAG